ATATGGGACCTGTTCCCAACCCCTGATCATTGTAGTTGCCCTCCACTCTCCCAGCCTCTCTCTTCCCCTCTCCCACCTCCTTTTCCCAGTCTCCCCCAGTTTTGGTCAATAAAGTCAGATTCCATTTTTGAACACAATTGTCCTTTATTTTGTACATCAAGAAAAGGGGCTAGGGAAGGGTAAGTGGAAGGAGGTGAGGGAGGAATGGGGTACGCGCCCCCAATAGGGAGGACTGGGCTGGCTCTGCAGGCTTTTGGGGGGGAAGCTCTCCTGCTGCCCCCCAATTCTCCCCTCTCCTCAGATGGCAGCCTGCGGCAAGTGCAGCCGGTCTGATGGCCGAGGGCTCTGATGTGCCCAGTGTGGGCACTCCGGGCACTCCAAGCCAGGTCTGTCCGGGGTGGGGGTCGGGACCCTTTAAGCGCATCCCTCGGCTAGCCTGAGACAGCAGCTCCACGCTCGAAGTCCTATTCTGATGCCCTGCCGGCACTGCTTCCGGCCATCCTTAAGCCTGGTTCAGGGTCCACTCAATGTAGACATGCTAGTTCGTATTAGCAAATCGCTAATTCGAACTAGTTTTTTAGTCTAGATCCATTAGTTCGAATTAGCTTAGTTCGAATTAACTAATTCGAACTAAGTTAGTTCGAATTAACGTTGTAGTGTAGACATACCCCCTGCTCTCTCCCCACCTGCAGCCACTTCTTCCCCAGGCAGGGCCTGTCACTCTGCAGGGAGCTGCTCTGCACCCACCACCCATCTTACCGTTACCAGAGCAGGTGTGGCTACAAATCTTACCTCTCCAGATGGCTCAAGGGCTGCATCTACCCTGCCCTCTCTTGAGCAAGAAAATATGCAAACGAGGCAAAGCAGTGAATATCTCCATGCCTCATTTGCATACTTAATGAGCTGCCATTTTTGTGCATGGGGCTTTTGCACAAAAAGGAGCCAATTACATGGCTTCTTTTTGTGCAAAAAACCCCTCTTGCACAAGAGCCGTTCTTCCTGAAAAAAAGTGGCAGAATGGCTCTTGCGCAAAAGACCCTTGCGCAAAAATGGCAGCTTATTAAGTATGCAAATGAGGCATGGCGATATTCACTGCTTTGCCTCATTTGCATATTTTCTTGCACAAGAGGGAGCAGTCTAGACATAGCCTGAGAGTAACAGCCCAGCCAGCTGCTGTGAGGAATTGTGGTGTGGACCCTCCACCTGCCTGGGGAAGAGGTGCTCTGTGGGGTCCCTTCCCAGGGAAGATGAAGGGGCAACTGCCGCCCCGAAGCTACCCACCTTACTCTTGCAATGACACAGTGGCTCTGAGCCACCCCTGGAATGCCTGGGCTCTGGGAGAGCCTCACGGGCAGTTTCAGGAAGCTGTCGCCCCCGCACCTGCCTGAGTCTGGGGCAGAGCCCTGCAACTCTGCACCCATCTCCAGAGAGCTGCAGAGCAATTCTGCAGATGCAGACACACTTTTCTGTATCTCTGCCGAGCTCTAGCCCCTGTTTCCGCCACATACCAGCCCCCTGGCCCCTCAGCATTGGGTCTGGCAGATCCCAGTATCCCTGTGGGATTTGGGAAGGGGAGGATTTAGAAGCTTTGCCTCTTCCAGGGAACAGCTCTAGGGGCAGTAGGGGAACCCAGCCAAGGAGTGATGGACAATGGGGGTGGGGATGGGTGTCCAGAGGGAAAGTGGGACCTGGCCCAAGTGTACATCTCACAATGACCATGGCAAGGGGATCCCAGATGGGATGGGAAGGGAGAGGGGCAACTTGAGGCAGGCAGGGGGAGCATCTGGAGGAGTTTGTGTCTCTTTCTTCTGCCCCGTGTGGCCCATCAGCTCAGCAGCCAGGGCTGCAGCCGACACGAGGGGTAATTGGGGTCCCCTGCTCTGCTTGGGGTTTGCTCAGACCAGGCAGCGCCAGAGGGTCACTGACCAGTTGATCATTGGATGCTGCTGTCTCCTCAACCCAGACCTGGCCAGCTGGGCTACTTCTACACTACACGTTATTTTGGGATATTGGAAGTATCTCGAAATAGCTATTCCACATCTTTGAAGCAGCCCGTTATTTCAAAATAGATTTCCAAATTATGGGCGCGCTATTCTGGCACCACTGTAACCCTCATTCCACAAGAGGTAGGGGATGTTTCAGAATAGCACTTCATTTCAAGATTATCTCAAAATAAGCTACGCAATTTGCATAGTGCGAATTGCATAGCTTATTCTGAGATAAGGGCACAGTATAGACACACCTCTGGATCTCTGGGACCGCTCATCTGTGTATGGGAATTAGGCAGGAGGCACAGTGTAGACACACCTCTGGATCCCTGGGACCGCTCATCTGTGTATGGGAATTAGGCAGGGCACTGAAAGAATTTCCCTCAGGTGTGGAGCAGTCTGTGGTGTCCAGGCTCTGACAGAAGTGTTTTACACACCAGCTACTGAAATCTGAGAGGTTTCATCCTGGGGACTGGCTGATGCAGGACTTGTGTGGATTCTCTGATGTCTAGTAAGGTCTGAAGTTTGCCTGAAGTTTTTCCCACAGTCAAGGCACTTATATGGTTTCTTTCCCGTGTGGATTCTCTCATGTTTAATGAGGACTGGTCGACAAGTGAAACCTTTCCCACACTCATGACATTTATATGGTCTCTCTCCTGTGTGGGTTCTCTCGTGGACAGTAAGGGCCGATCGCTGAGCGAAACCTTTCCCGCATTCATGGCATTTATATGGCCTCTCTGCCATGTGGGTTCTCTCGTGTTTAAGGAGGATTGATCGTGCAGTGAATCCTTTCCCACATTCATGGCATTTATATGGTCTTTCTCCAGTATGCACTCTCTGATGGATCATAAGTTCTGAATTCTCAGTGAAGTTTTTCCCACAGTCAAAGCACTTATATGGTTTCTTTTCCATGTGGGTTCTCTCATGTTTAATGAGGGCTGATTGTGTAATGAAATCTTTTCCACACTCATGGCATTGATATGGTCTCTGTCCTGTATGGATTCTCTCATGTGTAATGAGGACTGGTCGACTAGTGAAACCTTTCCCACATTCATAGCATTTATATGGTCTCTCTCCTGTGTGAATTCTTTCATGGACAGTGAGGGCTGATCGTATAGAGAAACCTTTCCCACATTCAAGGCATTTGTATGGTCTCTCTCCTGTGTGCATCCTTTGATGGATAATAAGTTTTGAGCGCTGCCTGAAGCTTTTCCCACAATCCATGCATTTATACGGCCTCTCTCCCATGTGGGTTCTCTCATGGACAGTAAGGTCTGATTGCAAAGTGAAACCTTTCCCACACTCATGGCATTTATATGATCTCTCTCTCCTGTGGATTCTCTGATGTACCGTGAGGTGTAACCTCTTAATGAAACTTTTCCCACATTCCAAGCATCTATATGGCCTCTTGCTGATATGGATTCTCTGATGTATAATAAGGTGTGATTTACAAGTGAAGCTTCTCCCACACTCAAAGCATTTATGGGATTTATCTCCCATGGGGATAATCTCGTGTTCAATAGGGGATGACTTTTCAGTGAAACTTTTTCCACACTCCAGGCAGTTGCAGAGTCTCTCTCCTGAGTGCCCTCTCTGGGGCAGAATAAGGCCTGACTTCTCACTCAATCTTTTCCCACAGACTGAGAATTCACAAGGTTTTTTTCCATTGCAATTTGTCTGCTGGACTGGAGTTTCCTTGGGATCCTTGGATTCTCCTCCATATTCAATGGATTCCTCTGATTTCCTGCTTGCATTGCTCTCCAGCTGCCTTTCTGCCCTGTGTTCATTTCCCCAGGGTTCCCCCTGTTCCACACACTGGGAAAAATCCCCTTCAGCTCCTTCCATAAAAGTTCCCTGTGATTCTATGGTTCCAGGACCTTCCTGCTGTCGATTCACCTCCTTGCTCTCCCACATTGTCCTAGCACCTGCTGGGAGAGAGAAAATCCAGGCAGAAGTCACTGACTGTGCTGGCACCTCCTTGCTCTCCCTCACTGTCCTAGCACCTGCTGGGAGAGAGAAAATCCAGGCAGAAGTCACTGACTGTGCTGGGGAGAAAGGACCCAGATGGGAATGGCAAAGACAGAAAGCACAACACAATAATAATTGGGGAGACTGAGACATTGGATTCTACTTCCACACCCAACCCAAACACTCCCAGGGAAGGAAACGTAGGGAAGAAACTCCTGACAGCTGACAGGATGGCTGGGGAGTTGTGACAGGCATTTGCCAGGATGACACCTGCAGCCCTACCTGGGACATGTGGGGCAGAAATGAGGGCTCTCACTCACTGCTCATTTTTGGGAGTCCCAGCTTTTTCTTGCACTCACCAGAAGGTTTCTGTGTCAGTTTCGCTAACTCCTCATCTGTGCGGGTGCCTCTCAGGATCTCCATTTCTTGGAAGGGCTGGAGATCTGGGACCCACGGCTCCTCCCCTCACTCCAGCCAGGCGATCAGGTCAGGTTTGGGAATGGGGAATCCTGCACAGGGGTGAGATCAGGCAAGGTGAAGGCACATGGAGTCTGGGCAGAGTATGCATCACAGGAACATTTCTTGAGCTCAGTCTGATCCTACATGGGACTGCGGTAACTCAGACATCTTGAGAGCAGCAGACTTCTGGGGGCGGAATGGGGTGGGAGATGTGATGAAGTAGAGATTGTATTCACTCTGTTTGCTTTGTTGTTCCATGTGATTTCTACTGCCCTGTAGTAACCGTGTGTGTGTGTGCCTCAGTTTCCCTGGACCCTGCACCACTATCTAGATGAGGATGGGAATTTGGGGGTGACTCACTGACAGAGGATGCCCAGGTCAGCACATTCACAATGGCCCAGGCTCATGGCAATCAGCCTGGGAGGGGTGTGTGACCCGGTGACCCAGTGACACCTTTTGCCCAGGAAGCTGGACAAAGGCTTGAGACGGGGCTGGCTATAGGCAGGAAGGAGTTGTGGAGGGTGGAAGTGAGTCTCACTGGCTTGGAGGGTAGAGATGGGGGAGCAGGGCCCTAGGTTCTGGGGACCCTTCTCCCCAAGACGGACTGTGCTGACTGCTCCTGGTTCCAGTGCTAACAAGTCTGCTCTACGCTATATCCCTGTGAACTAATAAACCTTCTGTTCTACCTCCTGGCAGAAAGCCACGTCTGGCTATAGATGGAGGTCTAGGGCCCGGCGACCCCCCACCCCTCAGTGACAGAGGGTGTCGTCATGCCCTCCCTAGGAGTTTTAATGATGTGTGGGCTCTGGGGGACTGGCTGACACACACACAGGTTTGGAGTTAAACTCTGGGCTATTTCCAAGTCTGAGGAAGCTGGTGCCCTCCCCATGGATGGAGCTAGTCCCAAGGAGGCAGGTGAACAGCGTGTGAAGGAGAAATAATGTAGGCTGGACAGTTCCCTGCTTCTGGCCCCTGAAAGCTGGGGAGACGGGGATGAATTAGCATGTCCCATAGGTGTCTCACTCCCGGTGACACCTTTTGCCCAGGAAGCTAGACAAAGGCTTGAGACGGGGCTGGCTATAGGCAGGAAGGAGTTGTGGAGGGTGGAAGTGAGTCTCACTGGCTTGGAGGGTAGAGATGGGGGAGCAGGGCCCTAGGTTCTGGGGACCCTTCTCCCCAAGACGGACTGTGCTGACTGCTCCTGGTTCCTGTGCTAACAAGTCTGCTCTACGCTATATCCCTGTGAACTAATAAACCTTCTGTTCTACTTCCTGGCAGAAAGCCATGTCTGGCTATAGATAGAGGTCTAGGGCCCGGCGACCCCCCACCCCTCAGTGACAGAGGGTGTCGTCATGCCCTCCCTAGGAGTTTTAATGATGTGTGGGTTCTGGGGGACTTGCTGACACACACACAGGTTTGGAGTTAAACTCTGGGCTATTTCCAAGTCTGAGGAAGCTGGTGCCCTCCCCACGGATGGAGCTAGTCCCAAGGAGGCAGGTGAACAGCGTGTGAAGGAGAAATAATGTAGGCTGGACAGTTCCCTGCTTCTGGCCCCTGAAAGCTGGGGAGACGGGGATGAATTAGCATGTCCCATAGGTGTCTCACTCCCCTGTTCCCCAGAAGGAGGCATGGGGATGAAAGTGTCTCTCACACGGGGGCTCTGGGCCCCACTTCCCTCTAATCGAACTGACCAGGGAAGAACCTGACCCGATGCAGAAATGCCGGCCCCAGGGCTTTGCTGGTTGAGGGTATGTCAAACTAGGGTGGCTAATGGAGGCATTCAAACTTGCAAATGAAGCCTGGGATTTAAATATCCCGAGCTTCATTTGTACATTCCCGGGTGGGTGCCATTTTTAAATCCCCTTATTTTGAACTGACTGCTTACAGCTACACGTAGCAGTCAGAAGTTAATCCGAACTAAGTCCTTAGTTCGGAGGAGTAACAGTTAATCTGAACTAAGGACTAAGTTTGGATTAACTTCTGACTGCCGTGTGTAGCCGTGGGCAGTCAGTTCGAACTAAGGGGATTTAAAAATGGTGGCGCCCGGGAGCATGCAAATGAAGACCGGGATATTTAAATCCCGGGCTTCATTTGCAAGTTCAAATGCCTACATTAGCCACCCTAGTTCAAACTTGGGTGGCTAGTGTAGACATACCCTGGGGGACAATCTGCTTCCCTAGGGCAAGGGGGTTTGAGCAAGTTTTAAGTTCAATGTTCAATAAAACAGAAGCAAACCTGCTCTGCTCTCACTCTCACTGAAAAACAAGACACCAAAGAGCACACAGGCCTGGGAGTGCTCCCCACACAGCCTGCCCCTGCAGAGGGGAGATGCTACGCCTCCCCCGGCACAGAGAGGGAGATGGGAGAGGAGCAGCAGGGGGCCCCCAAGCCCAGAGGTTAACAACTCATCAAGCCAAGGCAAAGGGAACGGTTCCAACTCCTTTCCCCCTGAGCCAGGCTTCCTCCCACCCATCCCCACCTCCTGGAGCGGCTCCCCCCTCCCCCTGCTTCAGTCCCCCATGGCAGCCAGCCCTAGAGTCCAGCCTACCTTTCCCCCCACCCACTGGGATACTGCTGGGAACTGAACCTTTTGGGGGTGAGTTGCACTAGAGCGGAAACCAAACACTGAGGCTACGTCTACACTGGCATGATTTTCCGGAAATGCTTTGAATGGAAAAGTTTTCCGTTAAAAGCATTTTCAGAAAAGCGCATCTAGATTGGCAGGACGCTTTTCCGCAAGAGCACTTTTTGCAGAAAAGCATCCGTGGCCAATCTAGACGTGCTTTTCTGCAAAAAAAAGCCCCAATCGCCATTTTTGCGATCGGGGCTTTTTTGTGGAAAACAGTACTGTGCTGTCTACACTGGCCCTTTTGCGCAAAAGTCTGTTGGAAAAAGACTTTTGCCCGAACGGGAGCAGCATAGTTTTTCCGGAAAAGCACTGATGATTTTACAGTAGATTGTCAGTGCTTTTCCGGAAATTCAATTAAATTGGTAGGGAAGAGAGATTTGCTTATTGTAGTCTTCCTCTTTGAGCATGCCCAAAAACAAAAGTTGCAGCAATTTAACAAATCAGTTTTTTGCTACAAGTCCTTGTGTGGATACACTTTTAATATAATTTTAAATCTGATTTAGAGCACTGTTCAAATTTGATTTGAAAGTCAGTATCCCCATTCTGTGCTTTAGCTAAATTGGTTTAAATTAATACCCTGTGCCTACGTCTACACTGGCAGCTTCTTGTGCAAGAACAGCTGTTCTTCCACAAAAACTTGCCGGCTGTCTACACTGCACTGAGTTTTCTTCCAGAAGTAAATTTACAGTACAGCGCCGTAAAACAGGGCTTCTTCCGGAAGAGTACTCAGCTACCCCTCTGATGCTTCCCATTAGTTCAGCCAAATATTTGATAGGGTAAATTTCTGTCAGGTGTGATTTCCAAAGCACCATCTGTGCTATCTGTAGAGGATGGGGTTTTTTCCAATGCCCAACTACAGAGACTGGGCTCTTAGCTCAAGCTGGAGCAAATGGGGCTTTCAGGTCTGGAGATCCCTCAATGTATTCCCCGATATGCAATCATTCCACGTGCAGTGGGCTAACTTTATTTCCCTCTGACCTGAACTCACATCTACACCGAGCCAACCCCCAGTTCCACTCCCTACCAGCCGTGGGCAGCAGTGACTCTGGTTTGACACCGAATCCTGGGCAGAAACCAGAGCAGCACCTGATCTGCCCTGTCGGCTTAGGCCCTGCAAATGCTAAGACTGGTTTAACATAGAGGTTAAACTGGGAGCCGAGCTGGGGGGGCTGGGGGAACAGCACAGGGAGGGGCTGCCCACAGATATTTGCCTTGTAAATTCTTACTCCATTGAGCAGTGGTCACCAACCAGTAGATCGGGATCTATTGGTAGATCTTTGAGTCTCTGACAGGTGATCCTAACTGGTTTATCCAAGAGGAGATCAAGAGGCCGGCACGTCAGCTGCTCCTCCCCCCATGGCTGTGCATCTCCTGTCCTTTGCCTCGGAGCTGCCCCCTCAGGAGCCTCCTGCTTTCTGTGCAGCACAGCGTAGGCGTGCTCA